TGGTCCCGGGTACCCTTTGCATTCGTTTGACTTCACTTCTTAAAAGAGAGCTTCGTCTTGTAGTTTAACTAGACTCTGCACGCAGGGTAGGTCCCGGGCAAATGGTAGTACGTAATATTAGAGGAATCACAAGTTCATACTCCAATTTCCTTTGCTCAAAGTTAGATCAATTTTGTGGATTAAAAAGAAACGTAATATCAAACGAAATCGTCATGAGTAGCAATAGTCCATACTCTGTATGTAGTCCACTTACCTTATGGTGAAATACTACAGCTTACTTTGAATTTAGTTTCAAAGGATCAAAAATAGTGTCTTTGCCAACTGTTCTTCCATACTGTATATGTCCTTACTCCTTTATAATCCAACCCGACTACCATTTTCATTTGAGCTTTTATCGTTTTGGTTTCTATTAAACTTTTATTGAAATTAGTGCAACTGAGAAACATTATGATCCTGAGACATTCTTCATCTTTTCTAAATTTCAATCGTCTAAATGATTTAATCAGTCAATCAAGTTTTCCCGGGAAAATTCCGATGTGAATCGTGCATTACATATCCCCATCCAAAGCCCTTGTTTACATTCAATTACGTAAAGTATTTATAAAAATAGTTTAGAATAAATCCCTTTTGTTATCCTTGATTTCATTAAGCCTAGATCTTGTGCTATTATAGTCCTATCCAACATTTAAAAGCGAATATAAGGTCCTTGAATAAAACAACAGATTTTTTGTATTGCTTCTCATAAGCTGGAATGAAGACATATTTTTAATTTCATTGTCCAAGAACGTTGTTTCAATTGTATAAACACATGTCATTCTTTATGCATTCGTGTCCTTTTATTGAATAATTAAGATTGCCTTCCTTGAGTTTTGTTCGCGGGAGATCGGTTTAAGAAAATCCGATTGTGTAGAATTATTTGTAAAATGTAAATTGTGATGGACTGATCAGTTCTGGTATTTGAACAATTTATTGAGTTTGAACGATTTACTAAGTTAGATCTTTTTGAATTTGAACAATTTATTGAATTTGAACGATTTATTTTAAGTTAGATCTTTTTGAATTTGAACGATTTATTGAATTTGAAAGATTTATTTTAGGTTAGATCTTTTTGAATTTCAAAAATGTATTGAGTTTGAACGATTTATCAAGTTAGATTTTTTTAAAACGATTTATTGAATTTGAACGATTTGTTAAGTTAGATCTTTTTAAATTTGAACAATGCATTCAGTTTGAACGATTTATTAAGTTAGATTTGTTTTAATTTGAACAATGCATTCAGTTTGAACGATTTATCAAGTTCGATTTTTTAAAACTTGAACGATTTACTTTAAGTTAGATTTTTTGAATTTGAACGATGTATATTTTTTGAATTTTAACAATGTAGTATTGAGTTTGATATGCAGTGCTTAAAAAGCACATGTAAATAAATAAATGATTATTGTCATTGATTGGTCAAAAATGACTTGACTTGTAAAGAGTAACACAGCTGCATTTAGTAATCTCATCAAGTCCTTGCTTGCTAATTTGATTTGAACATTAAGCAACTAACCCAACACGCAGTCCGATATCTCTTAAACTATACACACGATGCTCCAGGCATTCATTTATGATATGGCGTCTCATCTAATGCAGTACGTTATCATGTATAGTTACGATAAGAAACAACGACTAAAATCATGCTCCAAGTTAAAAATAATTGATTTATCATCTAATGCCACCGGATATAAGTTATGATTGTTTTCGACGTCTGCTATACAACCTCTTATCCGGAGGTTGAACACTGTTTCAGTTTTGATATATTTAATTAGATAAACATTTTCTAATTTATGTTTACTTAAATGCAATGATTTCCAAAACATGATTATTTTTAGTATTAGCAAACAAATTAACCAGTGGGAATATGTAAAAATGTCATTTTATCATAAATATACAAATAAAAAGTCTCTTACCTCTTTTAAATCTCCAATCTTTTATAATTTTGTGAACGATCTTTAAAAAAGTTACTAACAAATATATATGTTGCACATTGAGTACAAAATCTCGCTCCGAATATGGTTTCATTCAAAGTGATTCAAACAGCTAACACAGTTTACAGACAGTCCCACGATATCTCCTTCCTATTATGGTTGTTGGATGTATTGCTGTCTTGTTCACTTCGTTTCCCAATGAGTTAATTATATAATAGCGACTCCTAATTAAAATAAATGAGTCTTTCTCAACAGTGCGCATCAATGGTGTCAATCTTGTCAGTAGTACGCATTCTATTGCACAAGTGTCCCCATTCAAAAACTGTACGTACGGAATATTTGAGCAATCTGGCCGCATAGGCTAGTTTTTACTGCAATTGCCTTCGGCTTTGGGATCGATCAAAAGTCTTGTAATATTTTTAAGACGTATATTTCCATTTGTAGCACAACAATCAAGGACACAATGGCGTGTTACATCAATAAAAACCCCGAATTGCTCAACCCGAACCACTTTCCCCTCTCAGCGGATACAACGTAAATATTATAGTTAATCACAGTCAGACTCTCCACGTCATCCGTAATCACGAATAAACATTTTTATTTCATATTGGGTGATCTGATGTGCATTAAATTGAATACATGCAGTTATACAAAAATTACGCTGAGGTACACCATCCGTATATGGGGAGCTAGGACGATATCCTTCCAAAGGATTGGTAGCGATATGGTGAACTGAATTCAACATTGTTTTTCTCTTAAACCAGTATTGAAAACATTCTGTAAAAAACATGATCCTTCATATAATGATTTTTCTGGTTTTCTAACTGCATTTGTTTTTTGTTATTTTCTACCAATTATCCGAACATTGTTGGAACAAAATGGCATATACAACATTTATTTTAATTTAGATCTCTCAATATCATAGTTATTCAATGGAAAGTTGAGTTCATTAAAAAGTGTATCCAAAAAATAAAGTAAAAAATAGAGAAAAATTAAAGTATACCTTTATTGATACTTATTATAAATGAACCAAACTTTCCTTTGTACAATTGCAATAATATTGAGAGATCTAAAACGTTGTGTTTATGCCATTTAGTTCAATCGAAGTTCGGATCAATTCAATGATGGTGTGAAGCATCTCTTAAAAACCCAAGGTTTCGGATCAGGAGGAGCTATCGGATAAACCAGCTCGGAAAGCCTCATCGCTGATGCAAAGCCTCCAAGCTAAGGTGAAAACCCATGGAGAAATGGGGCCACCATTGAGTGATGGAGCGGTTGCTCTCTTCGATGTTCTCATACAGTCAAATGAACGATGATGATGAAAAACTGAAATTTGACAAATATAAACGCCATCTAATACCCCCAATGTAAGCGAGACCAAGGTCAATGAGCAAATCTGCTGATGTCCGATCGAGTTATATCTGCTTACAGAAAACACAAGCTATTATTAAAGCTACAATCGCTCTAATGCGTCCATTGGAAATGATAGACGAACAGAATTTGGCCTCAGTCTCTGACGAATATGATGATACATTTGGCAAAATTGCTGAACTAATGTACGAGATAACATTTAACTTTCTCGCAGTGCCAGCTACAAGTTTAATCTGCGACGCAGAGATTTATTCAAACCTGAAATCAGTCAAAACTTCAAACAACTCTGTGCGAAGTCAGTTCCTATCACTACTAACCTGTTTCAAGTTGCTGATTAAATAGTTATACGTATTTCATTTTTGCATCTGATAAATATCAATACGGTGTGTTGTGCCTTCTTGGATTTCCAAGGTACATGTATGATGTGTTCATGTGATTGAAAATCAAACTGAGAAACGAGTATGGTGTTGTCCTCATGATGAATAAATCATCATTTTGATTTGTATCAATAAATACTTTGTCAAAATCTTTATAATAACATCTGAATTTTGTGTCTGATATTTGTAAATATTTACAGGGACTAATATTCCCACAAAATTTGACTAAAGTGTCCAGATGGCTTTAAAGACCTCACGTGATACTTGATGCTGTAATGAGGTAGAATGGAAAGATAAACGAGATTTCTTTAAAAGTTGAAGATTACCTGCCCGCCATTTGAAACCCATCCCTCAGAAAAATTCTAATTTTTGGATCAAGTTTGGGTTCAGACTTTGATGACCACTTTAGGTTAACCTTTTCATATATTGGAATCGAATCATTTTGATCTTTGATATAAAATCATTAAGTTTAGGTTATTCATCTGACAACTTTGGTTGTTAAAGTCCCCGTCTTAAGTTTGAAAATATTTTTTTATCATTCATTTACTATTTGTCAGGACTTAAAAAGTGATTTTAGAGATTTTTGAACAAAAACAATTTTGAAAAAAAAGTTGTGAGCATTTCATTTCTCAAATATTCAAATTTCCCGCCATTTTTCAAAAAAGTTGAAATTTCTTAATCATCAAATATTTCTTAATGCATTTTCATGCACTGATAAGTTCATTTCTCGCTTGTTTATCAATCGATTTTCTTAATTTTTTCGGCAAAAAACATGGGAGGATGAATCCTATGCATTGGTATGAATTGTGGCTAATTAGAAGATATGAGTGACCTCTAAAAGTTGGTTTTAAATAAATTCACAAATTTTGGAACTTTTTGAAATTTAAAAAAAAGTTTCACATATCACACTTTGATAACAGTGGGTAAGACTACAATATAAGCCAAAGTGGTTTAAACTTTACATGGGGCCTTTAAACTAGTACTGAAGATCTACAGTAGATACATGCGCAATATCATCTCACGTAATCTCTTGATGCAGTGTAACTTGGTAGAAACTTCAACTTATAAATAAGTCTCGTTTAACTTTCAATTATACACCAAAATAAAACAATATAAATAGTTATATGTTAGCTATTGTGTCTTTGTTCCTTTTGGAGTTCAGAAATTGATAGTGATCATAAAAAATACATCAAGAATGAACATGACATCATAACAGCCTTTGGAGTTATTTCAACAATGATTGTTGTTTTATATTTGTATTGTTGGCAACAAACAGAACAATATGTATTTAGAAATAAACACTTTTTATTTTATTTTATTATTGCATAGATATGTAAGTTATATACAATGACCAATGAAATAAGTTTGCTTCAATACATCAATATCATTCGAAAACAAAAATGTACAAGATTCTATTCCATAATACGATGATATTATCTTTAAATACATACGCAGCCATTACGCATATTATTATGTAACAGATATGGTCATTCACTAAACGTGAAAGTGAATTTTTTACTTCTAATCATTCAGTCGCAAGTTTTCTCTTGATACTTTTTGACCATGCCTGATCGGAATTGATAATGTGAAACACATACAGCTACTGTTTCAATGGAAATGTGTTTTAGGGTTTAGATAGTTTCAGTAATCGCAATCCGAGATGACACTCCAGTGTTAATCCAAAGCTTTCAACCGCTTCGACGACATCTATTAAGCACCACCAAGTATTTTAAATAGTGGGTTATCCATTGATCGTTGATACGTTTCGTTCACTGCCGCTGCACGACGTTCTTCTGCAAGAAAAGGAAAACAAAGAATCTTACTGTTGATGCGAGAAAACCTCAAATATTCTCCAACCAGTGTGATTAAAATAGTTTATTTAATATCATTCAGATTAAATCTATTCATCAATTCAAATCGATACACTTTCATTACATCTCGGAGGAAATATACCAAATACACCACTGTTACACTCACCAATACAACCATTTCCAATGAGCACGTATCCAGGGCAACACTTTAGGTACTGATTTGGACATGACGGGTAGCGGACGTCCTCTCGTGTAGTGTATCCGATCCTAGTGTAAGGATGACTCCTGGTGAAATAAAATGAATGTATCAGATTGTTGTTCAAGGAATTATAATTGGTTCTAAATAAAATATCTAATGCATATCATCCATGTTAGTGTAATACACCGCGATCTTTGACCAACTAACTAATATAAAAAGTTACAGCAAAAAATGAGTCACTTATTTGATTTGATTTACGCATTACATACATTAACTGCAACATTCTACTTACTGCGTGATCGTCTTATAGATTGGACAATAGTTTGACACGGTGCGCCGTCTATATGTTGTGCCAGTCTGCGAAGCCGCTTGTCGCTTTGCTCTTCTATCGCCACCAAGGGAGCTTCTTCTTTGGTTCGGTCTCACCTGTGACCAATGGTGGCGCTCGTATAAAGGTCGAAGTTTCTCGAGGTTGACAGTCATTGGATCGATTGTTGATCCCATGAAGTGCCGTTCAACCCATTCTCGGCTAGCCGTATCGTGATCAAACGAACCCGTATTGGTTCTACGTCTCTGACCACCTTGGTTCCTTCGGCGGTTATTACGCCCATTTCGGTTGTTACGCCTATTACAGCGGTTCCATCGACATCGATTTTGGGGTTGGGTAGGTCTAATGTCGGGAATGTAACTTGGGGTCGTACGCCCTCTATACCAATCTTCTGTTCTACCTCGGTAAGGATCTCTGGATCCCTGGCCTGTACCTCCGTGGCCTCTATCAATATAACCACCTTGACCTCTACCTTCCTGACCTCTATCAGGTTGCCTTTGACCTCTACCGCCGTAACCTCCATCAGGTTGAACTTGACCTCTACCTTCCTGACCTCTACCACCGTAACCTCTATCGGGTTGACCTTGACCACCACCCCCATAACCTCTATCAGGTTGACCTTGACCTCTACCCGTATCACCTCCGTCAGTGTCATTACATGGAACATACCGGTCAAGTATTCTTTTTGTAGTATTCCTGTAGGCAATCTCTGTCATCGTGAGTCTGATCGTACGGACGATGGGACGAAGTTCTATTTCACAGCACCACTGTCTACAAACATATGCTTATTCTTTAATAACCGAGTAACCTGAAGGATGAGATATAATTTTATTTACAATGATGACTGATGGCGAGTGATGTAAACCTAGTAATATTGTGGAATACTAACAAACGGACCGAACATTAACAATGAGGAAAACCGAACCTTTGTCAAAAAATATCTTTGATTAGATACTGGAACATGGCTGGTATGATTTTGCTTAAAACTGATTCTGGTCCAAAAGCTTATTAATGAGAATCTTGCATATTTTCTAAAATTACTCACTAGTAATTCTTTAGTGAGTTTCCTGGAAACCCTTTCTATTGAACATTTTTACGACGGTCATTTTTGAACAATTTGGGACAAAGGCTATTGTAAATTCAATGTTATCACTGTGGTTGTAGTTGAGGAATTACAAAATGCCGCACATCGGATTTGTATACATGCTAGAGGGAACTTACCCATTCGTTCCGGTTTGCCCTTTTGTCAACTGTATACCAATCTGCAGCACCAGGCCCATGCAGAGCAGGATCGGTGTCATCTTTACTGTAAGCGTCCTCTGTGTTTCAAGTGTGCCTTACAATAACAGTATCTCATACACATAGACGCTCTACCAAGATAACTAAAGATGATTCACTAACATCGAACGTAATTAGTTGTTTACTGACTGGTTGAAAAAAGGGGCCGAACATTAAGCAGTTAGGGCCAAATGGAACATATATCCCAAAAATATATTGACACTGGGCTTAATTCTTTGGATTAATACCAAATTATTGCCATTGCAAGTTTGCTTGAACAGAAAAATGATTATTTTGGGCCCAGGCGTTTTATATCGGTCTAGCTGTTGCCATGACAATTTTCTAATCAAGAACAAAAGGTCCAAGTCCAGTCGAATAAATGGTCCCCCTAAAAGTACGTGTTCCACATTTCGAGGAACCTCGGAAGACTATCGATAACCTTTCCACCTTTACTTCCCATGCTTATCGTGTACTGCTGATAACGGGTCGGCATAACATTCGCCTAGGAAGTATAAATATCAGAAATTACTTCATATGACGCAGTTAGCTTTTGCTAAGAATCATGACGTTAATTTTCTCGTTTGACGGAGTGTACGCATTTGATGTAGTTTTCACACATAGCTTGGCAAGATGTCTCCGATTCCAACCAATCCGAACACAGTTTTTCATATAACTGCAGTGCATTATATAAGCAATCACCGCATCCAAGGTCATTCCTTATGTAGTTGTAAAGGTGACAACTTGACTACAAAGATTGAAATTGATGCTTTGCCATCTTGTCCCTTGCAAAAAGTTTCATTGAAAATATGTTCTTTTAGTGATTACGTATTTTTAAGTGACAAGGTAGAAAATATCTTGCAATGTGTGAGATGAATTTAAGTCCAAGACTCAATCCATTATGGGATGAACATTCATTTCAGGCGTTATTTCTAAAATTAACAATCTTGGAAAGCAACACCTTAAAGGAATGGTCATTCCACAGAAGTTAAACTGAGTCCAGGGCTTAAATCCTTAAGTTACTCTCAAAGGTGTTCCAAATGAATGACAACCACTATTAGTCCGCATTCATGGCAGCGCAGTCAAAATTATAGTTCTATAAAATAAATGATATATACATGAATAGATGTCTCTGCATACAGTTTCTTTGGGCTTTGGGCCTGGTGGGTCATTTAGTACAGTAAGTTGATGGAACAAGTTGACATGGGCGGCTTGAAGTTCATATCGTTTTCACTGCAGAAAAACAGTGATTCGGCCGCTATCTATGGAGCTCTTCATGGGGGGGGGAGAGATAAAACCATGACAAGAAAAAATTAAGTACCGATTTTTATTATTTTTCTCTGGTTGACGTAAGGGTGATAATTGAGCATAAATTCGATCTGTTTTTTCTTGAGGACATTAATTGTAAGTTAACATTTCGGCCTATGGCAAAATAATTGTGGTGTGCATTCAATTTATTGGCATCGTGAGAAATCACTAAAACTGCTATTTTTGGCCCAAATCTCCCAAAATGTGTGATTTGTGACGTGAAATGTCAATTGAACGACGGCCCATAAGGATCGTAGTGGGGAATTTTTTATCTTTGCTGAATCAGCATTTTTCTATTTCTGGCTTCAAAATTGCGGGTTTGACGATTAATTGCCGTTATAATTGAGAGGCACGTGAACTGTTTTTGAGTAAACATTGAATGATTTTGCCATTTTGTGCTCAATAAAGGATTCAATGCAACATTTTTTGATGTCAGAATTACCAAGGCCAATTTTTAAGAAATAATTGAATGACTTTTGAATTTATAAGCCTACAATCGGGTGAAATTTGACGAAAGGGGTAAAATAAGTCACAATTAGTCTATAATTTTAACATTCAAAGAAATTAACTGTTAAAAAACCATGACATTTACTGGTTATATCTAATTGAAAGCCCACGAGACAATGCGCAGAATATTGTGGAGTATTGGACTGTTTGGTATAATAAGTGTGACATTGATCCTTGTGGTTATACGTGGACAATTAAATTTAATGATAACTATGAGATCATTTATTGAATGTGTTTTCTTTCCCGAAAAGAGCAAGCAAAACTCATTAGTATTTACAACGTTTTGTGACAAAAGGTGGGTGGCATTTTTTGTGTAGAATCTAGGTGCCAGAAGAGGAATGGACGACATTTGGAGCATATTTTGTAACATCTCGTTACTCTTTGGAGCCTATATTTAATGTATTAACTTGCCAAAGATAATTCAGATATGATGTAGACAAAAAGTTATGAATGGCATTTTTTTACAAGCCTGTAATTTGAATAAACAAACCCCATTTATCAGACAAGATTCCATTCCCTTCATCACAGCACCATGATCATACCTACCTGCGGAGCCATTATAAATGGAACTATTTGGCAAATATGGTCCACTGCACTTTTACAACAATATTTTCCTTCTTTTATCATCCATTTTAGTTGCAGTCCATGAGGTGTCTTACGTTTTAAACCATGCCTGATCGTGACGGATCACGTGAAATATTTAAAGCTACTATTACAGACTTATTTAGGGCTTAGGGACCAATGCAAAAGTTCAATGTAGGAGTTGTTGGAGAGCCGGATGGAGAGCTAACTAAATTTTGATAGTTAACTCTCAGACACTCCTCCCCTTGTTAACTAAATCGTGGGCTTTCAACTCTGCATACTGAGAATCATTTCTGAAAATTTTAAATTGATGTGTGAAATGGTTAGCCTGAAAATGCGTAGACAAGACTTTATAGACATAATTTTAGGACAAATAATCAATAAATAGTACCGTGGGTACTGGGCTCACATGGTGTTGCTCAAAAGTGAATGATGGCTAAAATGGCAGAAAATAAATCTCTTGAAAGCCCATGACTAAATATGAGAAATTATTTTTTGAGACGATTTTACATTTCCCCCAGCGATAACTTATTCACTAGTCTTTCACAATCACTGGTGATCCGCTCGATTACACTGGTTACCGAAACGGTTCGTTTTGGTAACAAAATGCCGGAACGTCGAAGGTACGATTTTTCTTTTTTGCTTATTTCGCTCGTTGTAGGCAGAATCCCCACGACCTTTTTTTCTCACAAACGTATATCAGTATCATATGTTTTATACAAGAACACAAATGTGTACAAAATGTCCCCACCTATTGGTGATCCCGTCAAATGGTTATCCTAAAAATGCGTAGACAAGACTTTACCGACACAATTTGAGGACGGAAAATCCAAAATGGCCACCTTAAAATTTACCCAGAATGCCAAAGAATTGGTCAGTTCTAGACTTTCATACTAAGAACCACCCCTGAAAATTTGAAATTGATCTACCAAACGGTTCACCTGAAAATGCGTAGACAAGACTTTACAGACAAGATTTTAGGACGGAAAATCCAAAATGGCTGCCTTGACATTTACCCAGAATGCCCAAAAACTAATCAGATCTAGATTTTCATACTAAGAATCATCCCTGAAAATTTGAAATTGATATATCAAACGGTTCACCTGAAAACACGTAGACAAGTCTTTACAGACAAGATTTTAGGACGGAAAAATCCAAAATGGCAGACAATAAAAAAGTGATTATGAATTTTTGCTGATTTCATTTTACAAAATTATCACATATAACTACTGTTAACAATTAAATAGGCATTTACAACAAAGTACACCTGAAATTATTTATAAAGCTACTAAATAGTTTAAGTATGAAAACTGAAAAACACCATTCAATATGATACAAAGTATTATCATGCGCTAACTTTTCTTAAAACATTCAAAATGGCTGACATGACTGAGCTAACAGGTCCAAAACCTAATCAGATGCAGAATGAAGTGAGCTGAACAAGATGTTAAAGTTTTAAAAGCAACTGTGAAGCCGTTTTTCTTAAAGTTTGCAGACAAGGATTTTAGCATTTGACTTCAAAATGGCCGACAGGAAGTAGGTATCGAGTTAATTTTTTTTCATCCACATCTAGATGCACTCATAAGTTATCCCTGAAAATTTGAAGGTGATATCTGTAACGGTTTTGGAGAAAACTGCCGGACGTACTGACGGACAGACAGACGGACAGACAGACAGACGGACGGACGCGCCTAGGCCGACAATATGGCCCCACACTATGTGGTGGGGACATAAAAAGGTACATATTTGCGAAAAAATAGCTCAGAAGACAACAGAATCGTCGATTTAATTCCTTACTTAAGTTACATAAACGTTAACGGAAAGGGTTAAAAGTGCAGATCCTAACTGTTTTTCGAAGTACCGTTTCGGTAACTTAAGTGAAGGATTAAATCGACGATTCCGTTGTTTTCTGAACTGTTTGTCGCAAATGTGTACATTTTCTTAATCATATGATACTGATACACGTTTGTGATAAAAATATCGTGGGAATTCTGCCTACATCGTGTGAAATAAGGAAAAAAATCGTGCCTTCGATCGCGACGTTCCGACATTTTGTTACCGAAACGGTTCCAACGTAATCGAGTGGATCACCTGATAATATGTCGTACCGTGAATTTTTCTCTTTTTTGTGAGCTACGTGGGGAATCTACACTGGAGGAAAATACCATGTCGAAGATTCCTGGGAATTCAATAATCGATTTAGGCAGAGCTTCACTATTTGGGACACAAATACCCTCCAAAAACTATCAACATTCAGTTAATTAGCCCACATAGATCTTTTGCATTGGTCCGTTATATGGTTTAATTCAATGATCGTAATAGAGATGGCATCCAAGTGATACTCTATAGCATTCATCCTTGGCGACATCTATTAAGTATCACCAAGTATTTTTAAAACTGAGTCACGGAGTGATCGTTGATAAGTCTCGTTCGCTGCCGCTGCACGATGTTCTTCTGCAACATAAAGAAATAAAAAACTAACTTTCGATGTTACGGATTTTCAAACTATTCCCTCATCATCAATTTGAAAGAGTTTATTTGATATAATTTTATTCACCAAATCAGTATATTTTCATCTTGAGGAAATATACCAAATCCACCACTGTTACACTCACCAATACAACCATTTCCAATGAGCACGTATCCAGGGCAACACTTCAAGTACTGATTTGGACATGACGGGTAGCGGGCGTCCTCTCGTGTCGTGTATCCGATCCTAGTGTAAGGATGACTCCTGGTGAAATAAAACGATTCAATGAATGAATATATCAGATTGGAAAGTGAAATATCTAATACGTCATATAATCCATGTTATTGTAATACATCGAGCTTTTTGGCCAACAACAACAGGGCAAACGTATTTTATCGTCATTTTCACCTTACATAAAATAACTCCATAATACGAACGGACATTAAATAATATACTATATTTACTGCGTGATTGTCTTATAAATGGGGCAATCGTAAGACTCGGTCCGCCATGTTGTGTCAGTGTGCCCTGCCGCTTGTCGCTTCGCTCGTCCATCGCCACTATAGGGGCTTCTTCTGTAGGATGGCCTCATATGTGCCCGGTGGTGGTGCTCGTATCGGTGGTTATAACGTCCATTTCGGTGATTACAGCATCCATGTGGACCTCTACCTCCTCTATGAGGTCGACCTCGCCCTCCGTAACCTCTAGCAGGTCGACCTTGACCCATACCTCTCTGACCTCTATCAGGTTGACCTCCGCCTCCGTAACCTCGACCAGGCTGACCTTGACCTCTACTCGTATCCCCATCGGCGTCATAACATGGGCCATACCCGTCAATGATTCTTTTTGTAGTAATTCTGTAGGTAATCTCTGTCATCGTGAATCTGACTGTTCGGACGATGGGACGAAGTTCTATTCCACAGCACCAATGTCTAAAACCATACAATTATTTATTCGAAACCAATTCACCCGAAGGATGAGATGTTTATGCAAAGAACAATGAGTGAGTGATATAAACCGGAGAATATTGTTGATAGAGTAAGAGGCAAGACCGGATGGAATGAGTGTTCTAAACAATATTACTTTGTTTTGACCATTTTTATTAGAAAGGCGATTTATCATTTCATCATGGTCCGTGGCTAAACACGGAGATGACAGTCCAAATTCATAAACGGAGATGACGCATTTTCAAACATTTTTTACAAAATAGAGTCAGGAAGAGTAAGCTTTCCAAATTAGTAATTAACAAAGCAGCCGAACATCAAACAGTTTAAGGGAAAGCGAACGCATTTCAGAAGAATATGTTGACTCTTAATTCCGTAATTCCGTTGCTTGACGAGAAAAAATGATTCGGGTCCAGAAGTCTGTAATGGTAATTTTTATTCCGAAGTAATGTAAACAATCGACTAATACGGAATGGGTATCCACACAAGATGTACGAGAACGTAAATTATCTAAAATCTGCCTTCAGTTAGATTCCTGGAAAACTATATAGCTGAAGAGAGCTGACATATCGGATGTCACCCTTGTCATTCTTCGTTTTGCTTGGGCAAGACTGCCATAGCCTCCCATGTTGTAAACGTGCAATAGTCACTTAATTTAACCATTTATGAAAAAGTGATGGTTGAATCTTTCTGAATCCCAAATGAGATAGCCTACGAAGGGATGACCCTGTCAATGTACCTATTGTGATTTATCATTATATATTTGGTTGTCAAACGAATAGACCAAGGTTTCAAAGAATCTCACCATTGCATCAATGGAGATTTGGTCCAATCTTTTAAAAACGTCATGAAAAATGATATAAATGACACAACTGTATGAATCACAAGTTATTATTGTAGAAAATGTTTCACTTAATTCAAATATGGTATTAAAAGTTAGTTGTTAGAGATTAAAAGTGCAAATCTCTACAAATCCCATGAAAAAAAAGAATTTGCGAGATTTCAAAGTTATTTTAAATAATAAATAAACATAAACAAACAAACAAACAAATATGGAAACGCCTCTATTGAGATCACGATGGTTATACAGGGTATCGCTATATCTTGGAAATACATTTTTTCAGGAATGAATGATGAGAACCTACACATATAGCTCCTTTAGTTAGTAAGTTGAAAGACATAATGTCTTGGACACCTGGGTCAAAAGACATTCATACTTCAAAACGCTGCCGGGGGTGACTACAACCGCAATAAAACCAAATAACTTCCTAACCATAGTGTTTTAAGTATTTTTCTATTACGAATGTCTTTTGAGAAGGTGTGTAAGGCAGAATGTTTTCAACTTACTAACTACAGGAGCTATACATTCAGGGTCTCTTCTTTCTTTCCTGAAAAAATGAACACAATATTGGTTTAGTATTTTTCAAGATATAATAGCGATTTCTTTCGGTTGCGTTTTTTGAACACCCCGTAGTTGAGGAATTACAAAACGGCGCACATTGGATTTGTATATGTGTTCATTTCATATATTAGAGGTTAAAGGAACTCACCCATTCGTTGCGGTTTGCCCTTTTGTCAACTGTATACCAATCTGCAGCACTAGGCTCATGCCGAGCAGGATCGGCGTCATCTTTACTGTAAGCGTCCTCTGTGTTTCGAGTGTGCCTTACAATAACAGTAATTTATACACATAGACGCTCCAAGAGAACTAGAGAGAAAATGGATCTCTACCATCGAATCTAATTATTTGTTTACTGACTGGTTGAAAATATAAAAGGGACCGAACATAAGTCAAATCGAACGTATTTCAGAAAAAACATCTTCACTCGTAATTCTTTGATTAGATACTGGGATATACACATAGCTAGTACGTTTTTGCTTGAACAGAAAAATTACTATGGGTACAGAGGCTTTATTTCGGTTGCTATGACAACATTCTAATAATAAGAGTTCCAGGTTCACTACAAGAAATGGTCCCCCTAAAAGTACGTGTTTCACATTTCGAGTAACAATAATAAGACTATCGTTAACCTTTCCACCCCTACTTGCACTGCTTAATGTATAGTTCTGACACGAGTCGGCATAACCCACATTTAAAAAGTGTAAATAACAGAAATAACTTTTTGTGACGCAGTTTGCTTTTGTTAATAAGGATCATGTCTTTTTATTTCCCGTATTTGATGTAGTTGCAGTTTACATCATTCATTGTTCAAGTAATGAAGGTCTTCCAAATAGTAAACAGACCTGCCAACCTCACATTTTTTGTTTTTCCGTAAAAAAGAACACAACTCTACTCGTATGAAACTTTTAATGAAGGCGTGAGCCCAAAGACATGCCAGATATACCGCATTACATCTAACATTATCTTTAAATTATTAATAATTAACTTAATTTAGGTCTTATCAAGGTTTTGTATTGTGTTTTCAAGTGTCAAGATGCTCTCTTTCAGAACGATGAAGGTTGTCAGTTAATGCTGGATAACAGACTCAGATTTTAACTATTACAATGGCCTTACATATTCCGCACCATAGACTTTTTGACATATTCTGCACAAAAGGATTTCCAAAATCGCATCTGGGATTAAACTGACTGCCCAGTAATCAAGCTAGTATATTTTAAATAGAGCTTAAATCATCATGGATACCTCAAGCAGTAATATATACAAGAACTTGTTAACACTATCATTGTCATTTACTTTGGTCTTTACAGCGTATGGGTCACTGCAAAATTTGATGAGCAGCTTAAACCAAGTTCAAGGCCTCGGAGTGGCATCTTTAAGTTGTATATACGGAGGTTTGATTCTGTCATGCTTCTTTGGGCCAACACTTATTAAACGTCTAGGTTATAAGTATGTATTCGTGACAGGGTGGTTCTGTCATTGTATTTTTACATCTACTAACTTTTATCCTAAATTCTATACACTGGTACCTAGCAGTATACTCCTTGGCTTGATCTCTGGAGCAATTTGGACAGCCCAGGGGGCGTTTTTAACTTGCTTGGCTACGAAACACGCAACAAATAGAATAAGCGACAAATCAAGTGAAGCTGGCGAAAGTATCTATCAACTGATAGTTAAGTTTAATGGGATTTTTTATATGTTGTTTCAAAGTACTCAGATATGGGGTAATCTTATTTCATCTCTTGTATTACATCCTCCGTCTGTAAACTCGAATACGACAACTGGGAGCACGCGTGTTGCATGTGGAGCCGCTTTTTGTCCGTATGAAGTGGATCATACCTTGAATGCCACTAGCGTTCAGAAAAATCACGTAGAAACTGACGTAACTGTATATATCTTAATGGGAACCTATTTAGGTTGTGGTGCATTGGGCTTCGCGTTGACAATTTTATTTATGGACAACATCAACGAGAAACGATGCAACAAAAAGACTGATGTTGGCGTGATTAATGAGACATCTGTATTGATCGCTGATCATGACGACATTGAGAGGACCAACCACAATCAAAATGACAACGAAGCTGGAAAACACACACAAATTAAAGACTTGGAACAATCAGAGAATATTTTCCTAAGTTTATGGACCACGTTGAAATTAATGTGCCAACCAAGCATCCTTCTTTTAACCCCTTTGTTCATCTTTTCAGGAGCCGAACAGGCTTGGCTGTTTGGGGATTTTACTCAGGTACTAAACCTTTGTAAATTAGAAAGTGGACATTTTTGGTATACAAACAAAAACATTGCCAAATCACAAAACAAGTGTCTGATAACTACCTTGTTCCATTTAGTTTACACGAAGCCATGTGTTTCCTCTTTTTAATGATATGCCATTATTTATATGGGACCACGGACCACTGAATCAACATTGCACATTATGACTGAGACATGAAGAGAAAATATAACTAAGACTTATATTCCTAGGCGTTCACAACATGCACACTCGGGGTATCTACTGTTGGATATACAATGATTGGATTTGGTGTAAGTGGCATTGTGATTTCGTTTCTTACTAGCAGGTTAGAGAAATGCATTCCGAGGTAATTACAGCTTATATGTAAATATCATACAAACCACTCTACAAGTTTCGATATACCTATTCGTATGCATTTCAGATGCACGTTAAAGGTCTATGCACCTGTTCAATGTTTGGTTTTTCTCTTGTTGATTTGAAATATTATTTGGCTTCGAAACATCTTGTAGTGGCTGATCATTATTGATTTCAATCTTCCACAAATTACCTATTCGGAGCCATTAAAAAGGTCTAAAGTAGGGCCAATGTCCTGTTCTTACTTTTTAAAATGGATTCTTGCAATAATATCAAACATGAATCTACTTATTGAGACTCGATCAACTTGAGTTCTGAGCATATTTGCATCCTGTATGTCATCATGGGGATGGATACAAAATCCTCATTATAAGAATTTAAGTTTATCGAGTCTCAACAAGTAGATTCATGTGGGAGAGTATTGCATTCCATTGTATTATCTACGAATCTTCTTTGATATATTCATGGGTGTTCCTTTTTTCTATTTTTTAGGTTGGCAATGTTCATTGCAGCATCGATCTTGAACATTGGTGTCCTGTTAACAGTTCACTTCTGGCAACCACAGTCTGAGACTATGTGGATGTTCTTCCTCGTCCCGGTTCTATGGGGAGCGTCTGACACAATCTGGTTAACGCAGATTAGTTGTATGATACTGACTTCTAAAATAATAGTTTGAAAGTTAGGATAATTAATGAATCGAATTTGATAAGAACTGAACATGAAAAAAAATCCAGATACTTCAAGGTAAATTTGATACTTCAAGGTAAAATTTTGCGCTTTCATTTAATTAGGTCGTTGTTAATGGAAATGGATGAATAGAAGTACAGTGAAAATTAATTATTTAATTGTGTATTTTCAGCACATATAGGAATCAATTTTTCGGCAAACAAGGAAGACGTATTCGCAATTTGGAGACTTTGGCAAGCATTTGGACAAATGATTTCGTTTGCCGTCAGCCACTACGTCTGCATGAATACAAAACTGTATACTCTGATGTCAATGGTGGTTCTGAGCATGGTACTGTTCATCATTGACTTCACTTTAAACAAGAAATAAAGGCAACATCCCATATGGGGCGAACTCAGTATTGTACTCAGTACTCAGTATTGTATTAAAACCAGTCCTTTTAACATGCTTAACCCATTTGAGTTCAGCTACAGAAGCATGGAGTGTATTCGATGAAGTGAGGAAACCATTTAGCCCAAGTGCTTTTGAGCCATGATCTGTTTTCAAATGTGCGATAATCACATAATGAAGGTGCTGAACCACATGGAGCGTTCTACTGCATAACGAAAATAGCTATTATTATGTCAAAATAGTTACAACAGGGGCATGTCTACTACGCGTATACACACGCCATTTCATAATCGTAGTAAATTCGATTTACAAGAAATGGATGCGTATATCTGGAAATGTTACCAAACAACCTGCTATTTGATGTACTCAAACCACTACTCGTATGGACAGGTATATATTGATATAAAACATGATCGACGTAAGCGTTTCAAAAATCTATCGGAATTTTCTAATTTCTCATTGAACTGAACTAAACCACGCGTTGGATGTTGTCTTCACCATACTACGTTACGGTCACGTAACCTTCAGAATAAAGAAATGAGAAATTTTACTGAGGTTGTTGATGTGGTTGTTTCAGAAATAACCAACACAGTCAAGTTTTCCATTCGATTAACAATTATTTGTAACTCAGGGATATCACATGCATTTAGGTAGATAAGTATCACGAAATCTTATTTATATATCGAACTACACCTTAAGTCGTATAAACTACTTCTGTTTTTATACGACCATTTCCATTAATGTGAAAATATGGTAATTTTGATTTACTCGGTTCTTTCCTTGGACTGATGTACTTTTTATTTGGTAATAGTTGCACTTTTTAGTGTTTACATTTAAATGTTGCCATTTGCGCTATTTGCCTGTAACAGACATATATGTATCTGATGGGAAACTAAGAATTGGCCTAAATAAAAGTTATAGTTACGTGTACAAAATATACACTATATTAGAGCTTTAGGGCAATATATCAACAATTTATCTATTGAGAAATATAGAATGGCCATATTATATCTGAAAACTTCATTTTGATAGGCTTGAATGTGATTCTACCATGTTTTGCTATATATGGATTAAAAACTGTTCACCTCATTATCTCAAACTATTAATAATTGATTTAAACTAGGTCTTATCTCAAGAGTTATCAGTTGATGCTGGATAACAAGATTATATATAATGGTGAATATTCTCTACATCACTAGCTGGCTAGGCTTTTAACAATGACGATAGACTTGCATATTCTGCACAATAGGATCTTCAGAATCACATCTAGGATTAAGCTGACTGTATTTTAAGGTGACAATATAGCTTCAGTCATCATGGATACCTCAAGCATCAATATATATAAGAACTTGTTAACACTATCATTGTCATTTACGTTGGTCTTTACAGCGTATGGGTCACTGCAGAATTTAATCAGCAGCTTAAACCAAGTTCAAGGCCTTGGAGTGGCATCTTTAAGTTGTATATACGGAGGTTTCATTCTGTCATGTTTCTTTGGGCCAACACTTATTAAACGTCTAGGCTATAAGTTTGTATTCGTGACAGGGTGGTTCTGTCATTGTATTTTTATATCTACTAATTTTTATCCTAAATACTATACACTGGTACCTAGCAGTATACTCCTTGGCTTGATCTCTGGAGCCATTTGGACAGCCCAGGGTGCGTTTCTAACTAGTCTGGCCACGAAATACGCAACAAGTAGATCAAGCGACAATCCAACTAAAGCTGGCGAAGACATCAGTCGACAGATAGCTAAATTTATTGGATTTTTTTATATGTTGTTTCAAAGTTCTCAGGTATGGGGTAATCTTATATCATCTCTTGTATTACAATCTCCGGCTGTAAACTCTAACAAGACAACTGGGAGCACGCATGTTGCATGTGGAGCCGCTTTTTGTCCGTATGAAGTGGATCATAACTTAAATGCTTCTAGGTTTCGGGAAAATCATGAAGAACCTGACAAAACTGTATATATCTTACTAGGAACATATTTAGGGTGTGATGTATTAGGCATCATATTGACCATTTTGTTTATGAACAACATCAATGAGAGCAAATGCGACAAAAAGACCGATTTAGGCGAGATTAATGAGACATCTGTATTGGCCGCTGATCATGACGACATTGAGAGGACCAACGACAATCAAAATGACAACGAGGCTAGAAAACACGCACAAATTAAAGACTTAGAACTACCAGAAAATGTTTTACTAAGTTTATGGAGCACGTTGAAATTAATGTGCCAACCAAGCATCCTTCTTATAACTCCTTTGTTCATCTTTTCAGGAGCCGAAGGAGCTTGGCTGTTTGGGGACTTTACTCAGGTACTAAACTTTTGTAACTTAGCCGGAAAGTGGTATACTGTAGTTTTGGATGTTTCGATACGGAAGGAGAATAGAAGTAATACACTAGGCTATGCGCAATTTTTTATATTCCTAGGCGTTCACAACATGCACACTCGGGGTATCTACTGTTGGATATACAATGATTGGATTTGGTGTAAGTGGCATTGTGATTTCGTTTCTTACTAGCAGGTTAGAGAAGTGCATTCCGAGGTAATTACAGCATATATGTAAATATCATACACACCACTCTACAAGTTTCGATATACCTACCGTATTCGTGCATTTCAGATGCACGTTAAAGGTCTAAACGCCTGTTCAATGTTTGATTTTTCTCTTGTTGATTTGAAATTTTATTTGACTTCGATACATTGCACCGTGACTAGTAATAAGTGACTTGTCAACCACCACACTTTTTCGATTTGAATCTCATTGGTCCCTCTCTTGTAAAGCGAATCTGGTAATGCGGCAAATTCGTTCCAAATACTAGTACTTGCCATATTTCGCAGCTGAATATGGCATATTCCGCGTAACACCCTGTTCCAGTAACACAAACACATCATCGTTGTATATTGTATCTTATCGTATCGTTTCGTATTCTATCGTCAGCATTTGTCCGTGTTGTATTGTATTATCTAAGTCTATGTCACGTGTTCTATTTTCTATTTTTAGGTTGGCAATGTTCATTGCAGCATCGATCTTGAACATTGGTGTCCTGTTAACAGTTCACTTCTGGCATCCACAGTCTGAGACTATGTGGATGTTCTTCCTCGTCCCGGTTCTATGGGGAGCGTCTGACACAATCTGGTTAACGCAGATTAGTTGTATGATACTCACTTTTGAAATAATTGTTTGAAAGTTAGGAAAATTAATGAATCGAATTTGATAAGAACTGAACATGAAAAAAAAATCCAGATACCGTTTCAAGGTAAATCTTTGCGTTTTCATTTAATTGGGTCGTTGTTAATGGAAATGGATGAATAGAAGTACAGTGAAAATTAATTATTTAATTGTGTATTTTCAGCACATATAGGAATCAATTTTTCGGCAAACAAGGAAGACGTATTCGCAATTTGGAGACTTTGGCAAGCATTTGGACAAATGATTTCGTTTGCCGTCAGCCACTACGTCTGCATGAATACAAAACTGTATACTCTGATGTCAATGGTGGTTCTGAGTATGGTACTGTTTATCATTGACAACATCAAAAACAAGAAGGTAGCATCGAGGGGGGCATGATGTGATATCAATATGGAGAATTACTACGGGGACTTCAATGCGCGTTAAAAGTGATACTGGCTGATATTGTTACCATTTGGGAATTCCAAAATGGCATGCACAGGATACTTGGACCAGTTGATTTTTTTCACAAGATAGAGGAAAATAACATTGCAACTGGTCAATTATGCCATTTTGACCAGCAGCTCTCAGATCCTTAGGGCATACACTGTATGTATGTATATATGTATTGCCCTTTCTAAAAAGGAGATACATTCATGCAAAAAAGATCAATATGTACAAACAATCAAACAAACAAGCACAAAGAAAAATTCTCATCAATATGAATTGCCAAAGTCAGGCTACCGCGTTGCCGTTTGTACAAAATATATCAGATTAATAATAAACTTCCCCAAGGTTGGTATATTCAGGATAATTACTTAGAATGTCCAGTGAGTTTTAAATTTTATATAGTGTACCTTCACCAAGGTTGGAACATCCAGTTATGATCATTTACGTATAACAAGTTACATACACATGTATAATAATCACTGCTACCCACCTAATTACACAGACGTATCGTCGGTGTATCATGCGCGGAACTTCCTCCGGGGCTAGGTTTCGGTAAGATTTTTTTATTTCCCGATTTACACCTACTTATAAGTCACGTTGTGGATAATAATTTGGCTCGAAGTTAAGGAAGATAGTCTAGTTTGAGAATGTGTCGATGGTTTTAGGTTTTATATGTTAACAAAGACACAATTCACGTATTTAGTCCCTCGCTTTTCTTACACTGACGATCGGCAGTAATATTGCCAATATTACACTGATATTCAGAAATATCCCAAATTTAAATTCAAAAATGACCGTTAGCTCCGCACCCTCCGCTCATTTGCTCCGCATCCAACTATTTCCTACAGGCTCTGTCTGCATAGGGTGTATAATCTATCTTATGTCTAATGTTCTTGCATTTTGAATTTTTGCATTTTTAAAGGCTCAAAAATATCGGTAATGTATTTTGGACATAAATCGTGCTTTACACGATACATGAATCTCAAAATTTGGATATCCTTTCTGGTCTCAAGAGATTATAAAATGCTTGATGTAGGCCTAGTATACGTATATGTTGATTGACTACGCTTCTGAGGCCTTATCACGCGCTCGTCACAAGATCTGCGTTGCGTTGCGTTTGCGTATCGACAATATTTGCGCAAGTGCAACTCCTGAGTTGCGTTTTATCACGCGCTCATCGCAACGCAGATCGCAACTTAAAAGTGGTAGTATGTACCACATGCGATCCCAAAAATGTAGAATTCCAACTAAATATTAGGGTCGTTTTCCACGAAAGCTTCTCATGAGAAAAGATTTTATCATTCTTAAGCTTACTTGGAATTTGATACAGATATAGTGTATACGAGGGGTGATCCAAAAGTCTTGGACGCCCTGCTCTATTTTTGTTGGTTTTTGATAAAATTACTTTAAACTTTCCAATAATAAAGACCAACAACCTAACTACTTTGTGTATTAATTTCATGGAGAAATGATATATTTTATATCGTTTTCTTGATAGTTTTTAATACAGGGACCCTGCCACCCGGAACGGTATTCGCACATGGCAACTTTTAGCCTTAAATGTTACCGCCATTTCACTTGTTTTGCAAGTCTTGACCACTATATTTCTTTGAATTTTGAATGTTAAACCATGTTGGTTTACTTCCTTTATTACTAGGTAACCAATTAATTGTGTTTTAATTATAATGTCACATATGACAATGGCCGGACATGTCAAATTCTAAGAAAATACCATCAGACAAGCAACCCTCATTCTGGTATCATTTTTGCTGCAAGATGGCTGCTGAAATGCAGAACACGAAAAAAATCAAAGTGGAACAAAGAATACTACAAGATATTTTCACTATTATTGACCTTGAGCAGCTACCATATGCACAATACAGTCTATGTATGGCTCCATGTGATTTTCTTCATTTTCTCCAAGTTGAAAGGAGGGTTGAAAGAAAATGTTTTTTACTCATTGAATGAGGTTTAGAGTAGCACCCCAGCAGCATTTGTATCACATAAGCAATGGCGGTTTCATAAATGTCTTCCATTCATTGGTAAAGTCACTAAAGTGGTATGAAAAATGAGTTCAAATTCGTGGAAAATATGTTGATAAGTAGGTCTTAATATGTGAAGATGATGATGGCAGATGACACTCGGATTGAAAATCGAAAATTCTCTCATATCATGGCTGGTGTTAGGTTGTGCACCTGCACCTAAAGTATTTGCCATATTATAACAGTTGTGACGTGATTTGCTATACTTAAATACCGTTCCGGGTGGCAGGGACCCGGTATTAAAAGATATGTAGAAAAGTAGCTAAATATATATTCTTTTCTGTTGAAACTTAAACATAAAGATCTTGATCTTTATTATCTGAAAGTTTCATGCAATTATATTAAAAAATAGCAAAGTTAGAGCGGGACGTCCAAGACTTTTGGATCACCCCTCATACTGTACAGTATGTCATGATTTAAGGACAGAAAATATTGACATTTTAAAAGTAACGCTTTTCGTCTCTTTTACAAGTAACAATTCGAAGACAATTTATGTGAGGAAGACTTGTTAAAAATGATCAGATAATCCTTTCAAAAAGCGCTACTTGGACTAAGTCATTTTTCGTGAAGAGTAATCTACTTTTACACGTTTGCATTTTTAAATCACGTTACTTTGCATTTAACAGTCGTTACTTTATTTGACTTTGACTTGTCTCCACTTTTAAGAATGAATGCTTTTTTATGTATGCATATTCAAAACACGTTACTTTGCCCTTAAAACGTAACCTTATTGGACTTTAACTTTTATCCACGAAGAATGGATGAGTTTTTATGTAGGCATTTTCAATAAAGTTTATGTTCATGTTATCTTAATGTTTATGTTTATGTGATTGAAATGTATAAATAGAACGCAATATTCACACTAGGTGCATTTAATGTCTAGCGTCGTGAAATTCGAACGTGATTAGGAAACCATTTGGGAAATAAGATATATTTGGAACTGATACCAGACGCTTAAAACTGATGCATACTAGCATTCGATTATGCCTTGGTCACATAGGCTCCGATTTTCACTACGGCGCCCGGCCGATTGAGTATTTTGTTCAAAATTGAATACAATATTGAACAAAACACTCAATCGGCCGGGCGCCGGCCGATGGATCGGAGTATATGTGACCCAGGCATTACAGCAATTTCTCGGCGGTGTTCGTTGGTCAATCTCAACAGACCAGCTAACATCTGATCACGTGGTTAGATCCCTATGAGCATTCATCATACAAATAAGAACAAAGGAAATTTCGAAGTTGAAAAATCCCGATACGTAAAAACGAAAATAACACCTTCATAAAAATTGCTGTTATTTGCCGTTGTTATTGACAAAATGAATAAGAATAACCCGGATTATTATGCCAGCATATGCTCGATCTGGATGATTTCATATAAATTGGACAACCATAGACACATTGTAAGAAGTGGAAAAACAAAGTATGAGGGAAAAGTACCAGTATTGGACTAAACAAAAACTATAACAAGCGTCTAAAAGCATGCAGTGGTTCCAGACGAAAAAACTAAGGAATATGTAAAAACACAAACTACAAATTGTGTAAAAAGTACGAATTGTGGTGTCATGCAGCACAACGACAACGGTACGGATATTTTCTATAGTTAGGTTAAGGTACAGCTGGAAAGTAACATTTTGGTAAAAAATTGCTATACCTGCACATGTTATTTTCTGGTACAAAATAAAGTATGAAGGCATGTGTCAATTACATCATTACATTGTCTTCTTTTAGAATATCTGGTAGGGGTTCAATGGGAACTCCAGGAAATTCTGATATTTCACACTTTCTATTTTTCCAAATTTTCTTTCAAAGTTTCCAGACAACACAGAAGCTTCCATTGACCTGTTTCCAGATATTCTAAAAGTAAACAGTGTAATGATACTTTCCTGAAAAAAGCAAGGAAATACACACATGACTTCATACTTAATTTTGTACCAGAAAATAACATGTGCAGGTATAGCAATTTTTTTTACCAAAATGTTACTTTCCAGCTGAACCTTAATATTCTTTCAAAACAACATTTTGGAAAAAATGCTATACTGTACCTGCCCATGTTATTTCCTGGTACAAAATTAAAAAGGCATGTGTGTATTTCCTTGCTTTTTTCAGGAAAGTATCCTTGCAATGTCTTTTAGTAAACCTAGTAGCAGATAATTGGCAACTCCATGAAATTGTAAAATTTTAGAAAGATCATTCAAAATGGCCACTTACTAGGTTTACTTAGAAAGGACAATGTAATGATACTTTCCTGAAAAAAGCAAAGAAATACAGTTGGGGACAAAAATAAATGACAGGTCGATTTTCGATCACCATTTCCTAATTATGGTGGTCTGAAAGCCCATAATTCCCAATATTGTCTAGATATATATCCCTTAAAATTTGTATATTTAACATTTTGTATAATCTCATCCACTGATGTATGGCCTCTTGTAAATTCTCTTATTTTTAACATGGGAAATCCTCACTTCAGCAAATCCACCTGTCATTTATTTATGTCCCCAACTGTACACACATGTCTTCATACTTTATTTTGTTCCAGAAAATAGCATGGGCAAAAAGTTGTTTGGAAAGAATAACCTTAATTTGTATGGGTATTAGAGAGCCTTTGATATAAGTTATTTCGAATACGTCAGTCCGATTCAAATTTATATTTATTAGTACTTTGAATTCAAAAGATAAGCAATGAGATGACCAAATTGCAACAGTTTATGAAAAATAGAAACATATGTGCAAGACCTAACTTTTGTATATTTTAAGCTCTCGTGGTAGAATAGAATGAACCAGATGACCAGGATCATGGAGCTAGTGCTTAGTATAGTATTGTATTGTATTGTATTGTATTGTATAGTTTTGTATTGTTTTGTATTGTATTGTTTTGTATTGTATTGTATTTCGTTGACCAATACTTACTCAGTAATGATTCAATTTTAAAGTTGTTATCTTGTATCTTTCAGGAACAACTATGAGAGAGATGCAGTGAACACTAAGTTAGGGCGACAGCTGGATCAGTCTTTCGACAACTTTGAGCCATCAGGTCCAGTCCACGTAAACAGTATCATGGGCGAG